TTATTGACACTAATAAAGGACAAAGAATCCTGTCTTCTTGAACACTGAAGTGGCTTTGCTACCTTCACTTTTCTTGGAGGCTTTTTTTTATATAGTATGGTCCTCTGGTACCAACCATACTAATGATACTTTTTTTAGTTCTTTAGCATTACCAACTGAAGAGCAAGAATGTAAGTGGATTTTTCAATATGTAAATATGAATAACAATTTTGGTACCTGTAGAACAATTTTTTTTTTTAACTGTTGGAAATTTCATAATAATCACTAATATATGCATATCATTATAACAAACAACCATTTTACCTTCCCTGCTCTGTATATCTTGTTATTTTTCACAATTTGCTAATGTGACAATATAACTAATAAATCAATAATAACAAGAGTTTATGTTTAAAGGGAGTTAGGATAGCATATTTATATACATGTAAGATAATTTAATAATATTTATCAGCCGGAAATTGATTTTTTTTTAATTTTTTAATCGCAATAGGCAATCCGCTTTATTATTATTTATAACACCATCTATTTGAAGTAGTACCTTTGGTAAAATTTTTGCTAAACTAAACAGTTATAGCAGTCATAGAGTTAGACATTTTTTAATATTTTTTTTTTTATTTTATTACAGAAAATCCTATAAAATTTTGGTACATACGAAAAAATTCATAAACACATTTCAAAATTATTAGATATGAACCCTTCTTTAAATGCGACTCCTATAGACTATAACTACACCAAAGAAAGAAAAAATGTTGGTGGTTGTCCTAAATTTTTGTTACCTAGCAATGAAATAGTTGATACTATAAAGATTTTTGTTTGTGCGATCATATATATTATATTGTTTCGCCAAATTACGAAAGTTACAAAAGTTTGGTTAAGTTTCGAACAGTTTCGAAAATTTCGCCAGTTTCGGATTATACTTGGCGAACCAATTCACCAGGTTTCGGAAGTTTCGACAAGGATTTAGTTTCGGTTTTGCACGAATCACTAAATCAATCATTTGTACATAGATTTCTATATAAGTATAAGACATTCATTTTCATATTTTAAATCATAACGTGAAATTGTTAATCTCTCGCTAAAAAAAATCGATGATTGTACCAACCGATAATATTTTGTAGACGTTATATTAAAATAAAAAAAAAGTTCTTTTACTTACAATAAAGAAACGAACATTCTTTTAGCATAAAAATAATTTGCGATAATAGAATTCTCATATAATAAAAAAAAAAATTTCGACTCTAAATAATAACTTGCACTACGAAATCCTAACCAGTACCCCGTTATAACACAAACTCGACGCTCACAATCCTGACAAATTATAATCCCGAAAATTCAAAATCCCGACATACATTATTCCGTCACTTAGAAACATCATCACGTGCGTCGTAAAAAATTCACGAGAATCTTTATGCGCAGCAGCAAGTTCATGTGATAATGCATCATCATTGTTAAGCTCAAAAAGCTTAGATATATTATAGGTATTATTTATTTGATTGTGTTTCAGGTATGAAACTTTAACCGGTATGCTTTCTCCATCTGCCTATCTTAGCGTCTGGATGTACAGTTATATATTATATTAATCTTACAGGTACGATACGAATAATTTTTTTTCTATTTAATTTAATTTTAAAACTTACCATTAAGAAGGTAAAGGAATTTTTTTTATAAAATTAGTATTCATATTTTATAATACAACTATAATGTTGTTAATGGTTATTCATGTGATATTGTAATTCCTATGGTATTTCGGTACGATTGGCTTCGTACCCATTGTACCTGTACATAATTAATAATACATTACTTATTATATCATATAGTACCATATATATTACTTTACTATATACTAATATATTATGCAGGAACTTGTTTCAAGAATTTACAATCTTAAAAGTACTATTTAAATTTGTTGCATATATGAAGTTCGAATTTCTTTTACAGAAAAATAAAATGAAAAATGCACAATTTGAGATAATCGTAAATACGCCAATTATTGTTACCTGAAAAAATTACTTCCGATTATAGTTAGGATTAAATATATTTGGGGAATTTATCACATAGCGGACATATCCAACTGCGTCCCCCTTTTGCTAAATATTCAACATTTTCAAATAATAAATGTGATCTGTCTACCATTTTTTCTAGAATATATGGATTGATTCAAATAATGAATTACTCTTTAGAGTTTAGACGCCTACGTACTGTATTAAGAGAACGTCTACAAATTTTGATCTATTTTGGAAATCATTTTCATATTTATCAAAATAAGCACACAACTGTCAAATGACTGGTTGAAAAAATGTATTTTTTCTTGGTAATTGGTTTTAACATAAATGAAAATGTTTTTTACATAATTGACTTTTTCTACCTTCTAACTCCAAATTTAAAATCATTTTATTAATTTAATAATAGAATATAGTACGATACTGTTATATTGTTTTAATAGATTCATTTACTTTTTAAAAAGTATAGAATATCATATCAAAGCGTTCTGATAGAATTTCCATACATTAATAATCTTTCGCAATAAATCCTTGACCTGATGAGATGTATACGAAATAATCCTGTGATGGTCAAAAACAGCATAATGTTGATGATGAAAATACAGTATCGGCATTTAGTACCAAATTCTGGCTTCTGAAAAAATATTTCTGATAAGTAGATTATGACATATATTCCGTATAGAATGAGTTATTATCCATAATTATCCATTTCTTTACTGATTTGTTTAACAAACCTTTTTTTTTCAAATAGGAAATTCAAATAGAATAATTGGATCAATGAAATGTTACACAGTTTCTTCATTTGTTTTTAAATTTGAAAGAAATATAGTTAGCCTATTATGCCTATTATGCAGCAGATTTGTCACAAAATTTTTAAGCCGATCAATCCGGAGTTAAACACCGATTGAAATGTTTCATTTGATCCAATATCGGTTAATAATTATTGGCTTAAATTAGTAATTTTATTAACTATCACAATATAACGATGTTTAATTTACTGTATTTATTTATTTATTTTTTTTTTTTTTAAAAAAAAGAGATGAAAAATATAAAAATATTGATTATTTATTACATAATTTTTTTACAGATAATTTTAGAAATAACTTGTCAACAAAATGATATTCCGATGGAAAGAAATTTTCATACAGCAACATTGATTGATGAAAAAATATTTTTTTTTGGCGGAAAATCAAAAGAAGGTTCAACAAATGATTTTTTTTATCTAGATAAATTAAAAAAAATTGATAAAAAAAAAGGAACATTACCATTTGTAAATTTAAATGATAAATCTTTAAATATACCGAAACATTATGGAGCAACAACAACTTCATTTGGTGAACTAAAGGATTCAATTTTCTTTTTTGGTGGAGATATGGGAAAATCTATTAGTTCATCTGAATTAGCGTTTTCGTTTAATATAACACAATTAGAATGGAAAAATATAACAATTTCAGGTATGATACCTGATAGAAGAAGACATTTATCTGCGATAACAGATAATAATGATAAAATATATCTTTTTGGGGGTGAATTTGTTGATGCTACTAAACCGTTCGATAATAGTAATGAAATGAATGTTTTTGATACTATTTTAAATAATTGGACTATTGGTAAAAATGGGCCACTTGGAAAGAAAGGATATACTGCTACTTTTTTACCTAGAACTAAAGAAATCATTTACATTGGAGGTTATGGTGAAAACGCATTCGCAAATATAACTAATGTACGTAAGCACGTAATTACGATAAAATATTTTACAATTTTTATATACGTACTGTATAATTCAAATAATATATACCTTTATAATAGATAGACGTTTATAATATTACAAATGATACGTGGAATACATTGGTATGTGTATTATTTATTGTTAACTGAAAAGAAATTATGAATTTTTATTTTTTAAAATTTTTCATATAACGTGATAATAGACGACCACAAATCCCCCGGAACCAAGATACTTACATACAGCTGTTTTTAGTAAGTGTTAAGAATGATTTTATCTTACATCTTTTAATCTTTCTTATTAATAAAATAAAAATTTGATCAATTTTAAAGCAAATGATGAAAGAATCATTATATTCGGGGGAGTTGGTACTATTGAAACAAAACTACCAATAGTAATAAGTACTGAAATTCCGGTACTAAACTATTATGTAGTATTAAATACAAATACATTGGAATGGTATCATGGGGTGCCAAATTCATTAGATAGAGTTCCATATGTAGGACATACTGCAACTTTAATTAATGATTTTATGTTCGTTGCTTTTGGTAAGTATTTTTTTTAAAAAAGAAAATACAATAAAATTCGTAATTATTTAATAAGTAACTTTCCTTTTTTTTTAGGCAGCATCTATTCAACAGACAAACCATTTAATAGTGATATTTTAATTTATAAAATTGGAGATTATGCAAATTTTACTGAAGTGCTTACGACTGAAGATCCACCAGATCCATCTAAAAAAATTATATTTATTGTAGGAGCCGTAATAAGTGTATTATTTTCTATTATTATTGGATTTTTTGGAATTAAAATTCGTAATAAATTTGTTAAGTACCCAGGGGAACGGCCGCCAGTGTTTATAATGTCTGAACCATAATTAGAATTAGATTAATTAGATGTAATATAATACGCATTTCAATTCACAAAAGTAAATAAATTAGATTCATTCTTTTATAGACATTATTTTGTTTTATATTGATAATTATTATACTGTATGAATTTGCAGAGAAAATAGCAATATTAAAACTTTCAAACGTAAAGTATTTAAACGCACAAATCATGTGACTCGTATTATCTTTGCATTAACCAAATTGATTAAATTGATTGTCAAAACGTTTTTTTTAAATATCCGAATAAAACAATTAAAATTGTTAGGCACATGTACATGGCTTATTGTCAGCTGATTTAATAGTTTAATTTCTATATATATAAAGAAAATGAAATTTCATTTTCTTTTTTTTTTCTTTTTTTTAAAACTATATATATATATATATTTTTTTTTTAAAAAAAATACTTTTTTTATAAATACACAGCATATTTCGGGAAAAAATATTTTTTTTTTAAAAAAAAACAAAAATGATAAATCCAAAAAATTTAATTCTATATATAACTTTTTTTCAAATCATTGTTAATATAAATTGTCAACAATATGTTCCAAAAGGAAGAGTTTTTCATACATCAACATTAATAGGAACGAGAATATATTATCTTGGCGGTCAAAATAATGAAAGCCTTTTAACAAATGATTTCTTCTATCTTGATATTTCAAAATCATTTAATAAAACGAAAGATTCATTACCATTTGTAAATGTAACTTTGGGTGGTTCAGTACCAAGACATTATGGAGCAGCAACTACCGTTTTTGGTAAATCAAAAAATTCGATTTTCTTTTTTAGTGGAGATATAGGTGCTCTTCAAAATACGATACAGTTAATATATACGCTTGATACAACACAATCACCGTTAACATGGAAAAATATGGCAGTTTCTGAAAATGAGGTTGAAAGGAGAAGATTTTTGAGCGCAGTTACGGATAATAATAACAATGTATATCTTTTTGGAGGTGGAGGAGGCGGAAAATTTGGTGATACTCAATACATACGTTATAACACAACGAATATTTTTGATAGTACTAAAAATATTTGGACTCATGGTACAATCGATAATACATTACTTAAAAGAGAAGGACATACTGCCACTTTTTTACCTGATACTAGCGAAATAGTTTATATTGGAGGATGTGGTAATAATGGATTAATAGATATAACTAATGCACGTAAACTAATTCTCTTTGTTTATTATATGCATGTACGATTATATATAAGGATTAACGCTTTATGTTTTTAATAATAGTTAGATGTTTATGATACTATAAACGACAAGTGGAATAAATGGGTACGTGTCACTAATAATTACTGTAAAATATTATAAACTATCAAATTACTTATAATATATTAAAATAGGAAACCAAAAATTCACCAGAACAAAGATGTCAACATACTGCTGTTTTAAGTAAGTATTAAAGTGTATTTTTATTTTTTAAAGTAGCTCTGATCCTGATTAAATTCTCTTAATTTAATAAAGCAAATGATGATAGGATTATTGTATTCGGGGGGGCTAATGCTCTGAAATCACCGGTAGAAAATTATTACGTAGTCTTAAATGTAAAAACACGAGAATGGTATCATGGAAATGAAACTATAATTGAAGCTCCTTATAGAGGTCATACTGCGACATTTTATAATAATTATATGTTTATCGCTTTCGGTACGCATTATTCAATACTATTATTTTTAAGTGAAACAAATAAAAGATTTTATTATAACAAATTTTTATTTTCTTTTCTTAGGTCAAGGAACTACCCAACAAGCTAGTAATGATGTTCTTATTTATAAGATTGGAGATTATGCAAATTTTACTGAAGTGGATTATTATAATAGAGTTGACACCACTCCTTTTAAAGATAATATTTTAATAGGAACTACTATTCTTAGTATAATTGTTGTTGGATTTATTGGATTTATTATTCATAAATACAATAAATCCAAGCAGATGAAGGGAATGAAACCGCCAATAGATACAATATGTACACCATAATAAAGATAATAACAATAAATATAAAAAATTACTATTCAACTTTTAACAGTACTATAGTTTAACTTTTGCCTACTTTTGTGAAACCGGTGCTTGTATAGTAACACTACCATCGATACAGCTTAAAATAGTATTATCTGGATTCACAAGTCTTGCTTTAATATTAACCGTTAAAGTTTTACTGCCGACTAAGAAATAATATGGGTAATTAAATTGATAAGTATCTGATATTGGACAATTTTTAACATAATTATCATTACAAATATCTTGTTGGAAAGTGAATGGAAACACCCAATCAGGATTGTTCACTTGAATATCAACATATGCACCAACTTCGACTGTTGTATATGCCATTATGGAAATAAAGACTTCCACAGGCTGTCCAAAAATGGGAGGATCAGGTAATATAGACACATTAACTGGATTTGGATAATTTCCGGAGCATTGTGAAAATTGTAGAGCATTTGCCATTAAAAGCGTAGCAAATAAAATTATTGTAAAAATAAAATGTTTCATTCTGTAGATTTTTTTTTTTTGAAAAAAGTTGGTAAGAGTCATTGCTTTTTTATAAGCAAAAAAAAGAAAAAAAAGAATGCCAAGATAACAATAACTGCGCCCTAAACTTGATTTATTGTAAACTAAATAAGTTTTAGATCTCATGCATATTAATATTTTAATCAAAGAAAAACTTATTATTCATTGTTAATATTACTAAAATGACAAACAAAGATGCATAAGCTAATGTACGTCTTTTGAAAATCTCTTTCAGCGATTATTTCTAATTAACAAAGATGTATAGGCTAATGTACATCTTTGAAAATCTCTTTCAACGATTATTTATAATTAGTAATATGATATATATATATATATATTTTTTAATAAGAAATTCTTGATGGAATTTTCTTTATCATCCTTAGAAAAAAAAATTCTTTTTTTCTTATTTTTAGAAGTGCTGCGACAAATCTAATCTTTTTTTTATAATTGTAAATAATACCTAAAAAAGTATTTAGTGTATACATACAGAAATTGGAATTTAGCATGTCTTAAGAATATTTTCTTCATATTTAACGGCATCACCTTATAAAATTTAAAGTTGCTGTGTATAATCGAAAATGAATTATATATATATATTTCTTTAAAAAAAAACAAAAAAATCATTGTTAATCGGATAAATTAATAGGATAAATAAAATAAGTCTCACCGCAGGTAATCATCACATATCAGTGTTTGGAAAATGGAAATGACCTCATCATTTGACGTACGTCTAAAGTTGCAGTCACGTGACTGTATTTTATTCATCACGACCGTCACACCCCACCGCGCTTCCACTTTTTATACTGTATTTATCTGAGGGGTATAACGCCGTAATGCGGGCCAAATGTCACGTGAGCGCAACTTTTTTCGCCACTAGTCATTTCTTATCACATTGATTTTAATTAAAATATTAAAATATAATGTAGGCCAGAATTATGGCACTGACCAACATTAATCTCAACAAAATTAGATATTCGAAAATCCATGTGGTTCTTTCAATTGATATATTTTTGCTTTTAGTTTGTCTTTAGAGACTTTTTGTTTTAGTTTTTACTCATAATAATTTACACAATTGTTCTTTATTACTACAACCACTAATGGTATTTACGTGAAGCAGGTATATCTTCAAGTATGAAAGAATAATCCGGCACCAAGTATCTCTTTTTCTTTTATTTCATTTTCCTGGTGCAGGCCTTGTATCGGGATGAGCAGCATCAGTTGATTAACATTAGACCATTCTGAACTATCACTAGCAATGGATGGTACAAAATTAAAAGGATTTGGTCGGTTTGGTTATTGTGATATTTTTGTTTTAAAAGGAATAATGTCATCAATAAAATAAATAAATAAACCAATATTTAAGGAATGATATTTGTAATCAAGTTGACGGTTTGTTATCGAAGCTAATGTCATTGATCATCAACTCGCGGTAAATTTTTAACCCTGGATCCTTAAAATTAAATAAATTATACTCAATTAAAAAAAAAACGATTTTCTGGATTTTAGTAACATTCAAAATTTAAAAAATAACGATGTAACAGTCATAAATCACGTAATAAATTTTTTTTTTTTTTTGAGAATTTGACTTCCATTAAAGTCTATGTAGAGATTAATTTTACCATACAAGCAAAAATATTTTAATCATATATCCATAATAAATCATTAAAGTTTAAATTAAACTAGCAAAATTTGCAGCAATATGTTAAAACTTTTCCTTCCTTAATAATAAACGTTGCAGCATCAGTACACGAAACTGATCATCATAGGATTTTCCAAATCGGCTTGCAGCACTCTTGCAGCAAGTGTGGATTAATATTGTTGAGGATGTTCTGATACAATGAAATACAGTCTAACCACCGATATACTATTAAAAACTTGATATACCGATAAAATTTTATTTTCCGACTGTATTTGAGGACATATAAATATCGGTATAACTTTGATATAATGATATTTCCTAAAAATTTCATATATGTCCCGACATATCGTTATATGAAGGTTTGACTGTAGCGTAAAAATTCATGAAAGAATCGCACAGCGGGTACTTTGTTGTCAATGTCATATGGGCCTCCATTTCCCTTGCGTGATGCTACAAAGTAAAGTATTCAATTATAACATAGTAACTCATAATATGTTTTTGTTTTTCCGCATCCAGATGTTCCTAGCAGAACTAACAGGTTGTTTTTTGTTTCATTAAGAAAGAGTTTACCGTTTCGTGAGGAAAAAAAGTCTATTAATCTGATAGTGGATGTAGCCACAAACAAGCCACTTTACATAAGTCACGTGATACTTGTGTGAATTGTAAACTCCCCCAGCCGGCCAAGCGTAACCATCAAAAAAAGCTCGGGCACGTGATTCATGTGATTTGACTGTGGCTAAGTGTGGCTATTGAAATTGCACTACGCGGCTATTGCTACTTAACCTAACTAACTCCAAAGGTAAAAGTTTCAGCCTAAACCAACTTTCCTTACCTAACCCTAAGAAACTCCAACATCTACATTATCTTCAAGAATAAGTATTTCCGCCTAAATCAACTTTCCTTACCCTAACACTAAGAAACTCCAACATCTACGTTATCTTCAAGGATATGTATTTCCGCCTAAATCAACTTTCCTTACCCTAACCCTAAGATACTCCAACGTCAATGTTATCTTTAAAGATAAGTACCCTAAGATACTCCAACGTCAATGTTATCTTTAAAGATAAGTATTTCGGCCTAAACTAACTTTCCCGGCTTACCCTAAGATACTCCACTCCAAAGATGATTGCTTGAGAATATAATGAAATTTTATAGATGTTAATTCATAAGAGTAAAACAAAATCTTTTAAATTAATGAAATTTGAGTAATTATTTTATTAAAATAGAATGTAATATTAATTTAACAATAAAATTTATTCAATTTCAATTTATTAAAATACATTAATTTGAAATAAATTATTGTAAATAATGAGTGCTATCAGTATGCCCCTTCCATGTTAATGGCAGTGATATCAGTATGCCCCTTCCATGTTAATGGCATGGTTCACTTATTTGATAATGTTCAACGTCTTCACCTAATTTACTGTATTAATAGGACAATATGACTTCCTTACTACTATAATACAGACTAGTTTTGCTCTTTTAGAAGAGAAGGTTGCATTAATTAGGCTGTCAAAATAACAGTTGCAATTTAGTTTGTTGAACTGGTATTATTGCTTACTTGGTATTTCTACAGGTTTCATATTTTTTGCAAGTTTTGTTTTAAAAGATTTATAGCCATTGTAAAGAAAATAAGCCAACCTTTTGTTTTAAAAATAAATTTGTATTCTTGGTATTTGGTAATGTAGACACGAAAAGAAAGCTTAAATAATAGCTTAAATAATACGCGATAAATATCAGTAACCACAAACTGCGCCGTATGTTACAAATCACATGCTCAAAAATCACATGCCCGAGCTTTTTTTGATGGTGTTACTGGGGAAGATGTGAATTGTAACAATTTTCTTAAATAATAAATTAAGCGTTATTAAAACGCCGTAAAGATAAAGAAGCTGCCCAACAACGACGAGCTGAAAAAGCTGCTGCTGAAGCTCAACTTACTCAAGAATCGACGTCGAATGCCAACGCATTTCAAAATTCATCTTCGGTCAAACCGGTCGACGAAAGTAATATGATGACCGATGATAGTATTTATATAATTTTAATTAATTATTTTATAATTTATTTTAGTTGTAAGTCTTTTTTAATAATTATAATTTGTTACTATTAAGGTTTGAATCGAACTTTAGTTTGATTATCGTCATGATAAAAGCTCTCTTGTTACACTTATTAGTAAAGTTATGGTAATATGGTTAGTAAAAAAATGGATTCATTTTTCTTATACAATGTGAGAATATCAATTATAATTTTATAAGTTAGCAAAAGTTTATGGCATAATTTCGTAAATTTACGTGATATTACGCTATATTACTAACTTTATCTCACTCCGGAAAGTAACACTATTTTTTTTCCCGAGCCAAATATCCTATGTCTGAAACTAATACACCAGCTTCTACCTCTATCACACTAGCAGACGATGTTAAAAAATGACACGACCAAGCTTATCGAATTTTTGAAGAGTCAGCGACAAAATTTTAGAAGAGGAAGAGATTAATGGTACTTCCTTGACATGACCAAGCAAGATTTTCGAGATTATGACATGAAATGAGGCCCTCGCCAAGGACTGTAAGGAGAAAAAATTAAAAGCGTTCTCGGCATACTTTAGCTTGAGTGGGGTGTTAGCGGAATATGGTCTCGACTCCGATGGTATAGTTTCTATCCCTTTGTTTAAGAACCGCAAATTTACGAGATTCAAGATGAAAATAAGGCCTTCAAGCGTTGCATGGAAGAAATTTTCGGTAGGTTGCGCTCATACGGAACTTTACAGCCGGATAGCTTGGAGGCCATGCGTAATGAATATGTCGTAGCGAGCATAGACGTCATTTATCACGGGCTCCCGATCCTTTGTATTTATTTTTCGAATGTATTAATAAAAAATTTTTTATAACTACCGCGTGATTTCATGACATCTTGACTTGAGATTACATGTAGATCCGTTGACAAGAAAAGAGCTTCGATAAAAAGTATTCAGGTCCGAATTTTGACCCGAATACTCACGTGATTTTTGATCGTCGCGGTTGCGCCCCATGATGTAATAATGCGAATACATGTTCACTTCTCCCGAATGTATGAAAGTGAGAGAACCTTGTAGTTAGAAGTATTAGCGATAGCTGTAGAAATTTACCATAAATGTAGGAGCAAAAAAATAATATGATGCTGGGACTCGCATTAAATGGCCTAGGATTCCGCGTAGCCCCTCTCTCCTTGATAGCATTATACATTTCGCTTGCTTCTCTACCACTTTTATTACTTTTATTTATAATAAAGTTTCTTGATTTGCGATATATGATTTAGCATACAGTATGATTAAAAAATTAAAGCCCATAGATTTATTTTTATGCAAATTATATTATATTTCAGTGAAGTTTATTTAAATATATAAAAAAATTTTACACAATGACAAATTTGTAGCATTTTTGCTAAGCAAAACCTGAAATACGCGCAACGCGTTTCTAGTTTTAATAAAATGTCTATTTTATCTCTCTTGCTCTTTAAGAATTTTCATTTTTAACTTTTTAAATTGTTTCAAGGCTTTCTTAGCAGACGGCCTATCAGGAGCAAACTTATGATCCTGTCCCATATGTTTTAGGTAAAAACCTTATGTTTATTTCACGGGTTCGCCTTCCTTTTTCTTTCAAGATCTAATGGTTGTGAAAAAAAATGATGATATTGAGAAGGCGAATGACAACGAATGATAACTGCAAATTTCTTGTTCGAGAGGTAAAACGTTGGAAGACACTATCAGAAGATATAGCCTTAAAGATAAAATTTATACCGAAGACAAGATTAAAATTCTATGATGGAATCAATGCATGTTACTTAAAGAATACTTTCTAAAGCCTGCAACGGTCTAGATCAAAGTTGGCTTGAACACATCGATTTCAGAGCTTTCGCCAATGTACTTAGTGATAACATCATGTCCTAATACCAAACAGTTTAATTATAATGACTTTTTGTTTCTGGAAAAGCGACAAGCTCTTTAGAAAGTTTCAAGATAATTTGAGAAAGTTTGAGAGAAGTCTGTAGAGCCTATCTTTTTTGGATAATTCCAGGCGGCATTATGTGATGGCCCTGAAGAGACGTGAAATGTGAGAACATATGTGAGGTCAGGCATAATATTAATTAGAATTATAATGGAAATGTTATTGATATTTATTAATATAATCAATTATAATGAGTCCCTGCAAAATTTTCATATACAAAATTACACACACTTTCACACATATAAAAATGATAACATATATTTCAATCTGAGTAACTATCATTAAAAATGACTATTAATTTGTATCAATTTATGTATTTATTGCTCATCATTTGTAAAGTTTGTATAACAACTAGGGTGGCGTCAGGAATTAAGTTGGCACGGTCTTTAATATTTTTTCAGTTAATGTTATTTATTGTGAGTAGAGTTTGGAATCGATTAAGGTATCTCAAAAATTGGTTAATCGATTAAATTATCAACCCATAATTCTGGTCAAATTATCTAATGCGGCCCAGAGCTGTGAATTTTTGGTCACGTGTTCTCCGAACTTGGAAGAATTTGTATTAATTTTTTAATGATAATAATAATAAATAAGACTTTCCTATAACTAAATGTATGGTCAAAAACAATTTGGTGCAATCTGCGGTCAAAAAAAAAAAATTTTTAATATTTTAATATTAATCGATTATTAATCGATTAAAACCTCTAATTGTGAGTTGTGTATTTATGTTTTTGTTTGTAATAATGTAGAATATATTAAGAAAAAGAATCTGTTTATGGATTTTTTTCGCTTTATTATCAATTCTCTCATCCGCTTTTAAGCATCTACATTTTATATTAAATTTGTCAACACCATATTCCTTTCCAACAAATTCATTAACATTAAATTTGATACTTTTAAATAAATCATCATCATCTTGTACTTGTCTTATAACGTAACCAATGAGAAAAACAAAGATTGAACTAATCGTCAAATGATCACCTGCATTAGCTGTCATCTAATTTATATTTTATTTTTTAATTTTAAAAAAAGAATTAATAATTATTTTCTTTGAGTGTTATTATTTTTTTTACATAAATAATAAATTAAAATTACCTCCAAAATATCATCATGAAGAGGTTCCTCATTGAGAAAAATTTTCCTGTAAACCTAACTACATCACCAGATGTAAAATCGAGAATCCATTTTGGAACTGATGGATTTTTTGGAAAAAAGGAAGTATTATCATCTTCTTTTATTATAATAAAATTATTACTTCTCATTCAACAATTGAATGAATTACACAAATTAAAGTGAGTTTTGCTGGCATAGTATTTATTTATTTTTATGTAAGGAATAGATATTTTCTTTTTTTCTTTTTTTTTATGAATTGTGACTTTACGATTTAATTCTAGTAGAAGTTTAACGTAATTTTAGTTAGAATTAACAATATAAAACGTAAATTTTTGTTTTAAATTCACATTTGTTTTGTTTGTAATAAATATCTTTTATTATTTATCAAATATAATAAATTTATTTATTCTATTAAACTAATAATCATTACCCAAAGTAAGTTAAGGAAACTTAAACATCGGAATTCTTTCTAATGAAATTTTTGTCTAAATTTGTAAGATGTCACATTCATATAGATATCGGTTGATCTATATTTGTTGAACTCAAGTAAAACTAAATGAGAAATATTTCCTTTAATGTTCAAAATAAGGTTGTTAATATTACATAAAATTTGGTTATATCGGGACAGCACCAGTTCGGTATAGATCGTGTTTGTAATGCAGATCTACTAATGCACATCCTTACGATCTATTCCTATTAGCATATTTAAAAGAGCTCACCTACTAGGCTGAATGATGTCGATCATCACATAAAACTATGAATGTGTGGGTTCTGTGTGTTCGATTATGGATATAATCGACATTTGACATTTGGATTGTTTTCAATTTTCTTTTTTTTTTCTCCTTTAGTAAAAGCCCGAAATTTCGGGAATTCGGAATTATCGGGATTAATCTTTCTTTTTTTTTTTCGTCGGACCATGTTAATTAAATTTTAATATAGGCAATATGATGATATACAGCAGAATGAGAGAGTGAAAGTAGTAGCATCAAACGTCTTTTTTAAAACATATAAATTGACTAACTTTTCCTGCCATATATCTGTGTATTCAATTATTCCAACCAATTTTCTAAAAATACGTTACCTTAATAAAAATGAACAAGAAACATATGTTATATATATTTGTCGTATTGATACTAATCTTAACGAATTCAAGTTATGCATTTCCTAAACCTATGGGTAGAAGAGCAAAAATGGTACCTATGAGTAAATTTGTTGATATTCCTCCAGAAGAAAGAATGAGTAATACAACAGGAACTTTTGCTGTCGATAATAATTTCAGTGCTATTGGACTCTTAAGCTTTGTAAAAGCAGATGGATCAACTGATTATTGTACCGCCACTGTAATTAGAACTGATAACGGAAATATGGCAATTACCGCTGCACATTGTATTTGGGATATTATCGCTGAGAATTGGAATACTGATTTCTATTTCTATCCTGGGTACAACAATGGAAGTCCAGGTAGTATTGGAGCAGTTAGGGCTCATACATTTAGTATATGGTCAGCTTTTACGAACGATGAAGCACTGTATGACTATGGCTTTATAAAGTTTTATTATCAAGATGGAAGAAAATTACAAGATGATACTGGAGCATTCGATTGTGACGTTGATGTACCTCCTGGAGAATATCAAACAACTGTATTTGGTTATCC